AAGCTTTATCAAAAAGGAAAGTTTTAAGCCTAGCCTTAAAGGGTGTCTGCCTCACGGACTAAAACTGGTAGTTGGTTCCACAGGAGAGGAGCCTGATGACTAAAAGATCTGCCTCCCATTCTACTTTTAGAAACTCTAGGAACCACTAGTAAACCTGCAGATTGAGTTCAAAGTGCTCTATTAGGAACATAAGAACAATCAGATCTCTGATATCAGATGGAGCTTGGCCATTTAAGGCTTTATATGTGAGAAGGAAGATTTTAAATTCTATTCTGGATTTACAAGAAGCCAATGAAGAGAAGCCAGGATAGGAGAGATATGATCTCTGTTTTTCATTGTTTCTCAGAACTCTGGCTGCAGCATTTTGGATCAGCTGAAGGCTTTTAACTACAGTTTATGGACTTCCTGATACTAGAGAATTACAATAGTCCAGCCTTGACGTAACAAATGCATGGACTAGTTTCTCAGCATCACCCCTGAACAGGATATTTCTAATCTTTGCAAAATTCCGCAGATGAAAGAAGGAAATTCTAGAAACTTCTTTGATATGGGATTTAAATGACAAGTCCTGATGTTGTGTCAGCATGGATGTTAAAATCCCCCACTATGATGACCTTGTCAGTATTTAAAACCAAATCAGATGATACAGAGTTACAAAAAGAAGAGGGTTTCTTGCTTTGCAATTTGGATGAGGAAAACTAAGGGTTAAATGTTCAAAAGAGTAGTTATTATTAACTTCCTTTGGAGTAATCAGTAAGTCAGCCTGAAAGATTGTTGCCACTCCTAATGGTAGTAGGAATGTAGATCTAAAGGTCTTTCTTCACTACGACAGACTGATATACCATCTGCTTCACTAAAACCAGTGAAAAAGTGTAAAACCAGTTCTATCAGTCTCCCACTCCATTCTTCCCTCATATATGAACAAGACCCAGATATACTTCAACCCTTGGAGCAGGAGAGTTCACTCCATCAAGCAGCGGGGCCGTGCCATGGAGGAGCTTTTTAACCGGCTCTTTCAGCACCAGAGTTTGGGGACGTCTTCAAAGTGCTCCAGCCACCGGCCCAAAACGCTCTGAGTCGAGGTCATTAGCATCTTCCCCACTAAAATCACTTATTCTATTTCCACATTATGGAAGTTTTTTTTTTCATGGAACACAGTGTGGTTGTACAGCTGTTTCACCACCAGAGGGCGGCACACAGCAACAGTTCTGACTTCAGGTCAGTTATTAATCAGAACAGCAGCTGGAACAATAAAGTTAACTATAATTTTAATCAATTGAATAAATAGTTAAAAGCCTTATCAAATTAGTCATAGAAAAATTAAATCTCGGGAAGGAAGTCATAATAACAAAATATACAATGAAAGGCCTATATAAAAATAAGATGAAATTATACTACGATGCATGAAGAGATATTTGCCATGAATGAAACGTCATAATCGATAGAATCTGCTCATTTTATTTTCCAGGGGTACATTTTCTAAGGGTTGAAGATGTTCATGTGATTTAATAATATTTGAACCTATTTATTTATAGACTCTGCCTGAGATCCAGTGGATGGTTTTATCCGTGTGTTGCTGGTCCTCTGCAGACAGAATTCAGTCCACAGTTGTTCTAATCCTTTTTCACTGCTTGTCTGCAGGTACGGTTATCATGTGTCCAAGACCTCCTACGTCACCTGTAACGACCCCCCCACCATCCAGAGGATCTTCAGCCGGATCAGAAACTTTGAGGGCGATGGTTCATATCCGAAGGCGTGCGGCGGCGTGCGGATCGTCCACATCAGAGATGTTACTACGGGATACGACAGCAGCCGACCCGACCTCAGATCAGTGAGAGCAGCTCTTCTTCTTCCTGTTCTTCTCCCACAGAATCAAACTGTGCTCCTTAGCAGGTTGTACAATAAACTCTGATCAAACAAAACAGGATGTTTAGAAACTTCTTATTAATTTATCCATTACTGGATGTATCCAGTCCCGCCTCACTTGTCCTGCTGTGCTGCTTTCTATAAACAACATGCTGTTTTCAAAGCAATAAAGAAACCCATGGGATGAACTATGGAGCCGGAGGTAAAAGCATGGTGATGTGGGCTTGGTTTTAAGCCACAGGGCCTTCCTCACGTGGAAGTGAGACGGTGTAATATGGCTGAAAAATCTATCCCAGTATAAGCCTTTCAGATCAGTTGATATCCATCATTTTTGAAAAAGGCAAAATCTAGATTATAACCCCAACCCAATTAATCTTAACCTTTATTCTGTCATAACCTATTTTTTGTACTTGTAAAATCTTCTGAAATTGTCTTTAAATTTAATTTTGATCAGTTTTAGGAAATAAATATTAGGAGCACTTTTCATACGCCTTTGTTTCCGTGAGGGATTGTAATCAAAGTTATTAGACGCTGCTTTCATTTTCAGTTCTTAGCCAGGAGCGATCGCTGCTTTTAACCTCGCTTTAAATAACACTTCTTAGTAAAGTATATAAAACAGGACTTCAGATTTAACAGAATTTAATC